GATTAGATTTATATTGTGTTTGGTTATCTTATCCTGCGTAGAACGACCCCTAATAGCTCAAAAAAATTAAGTTGACCCCTATTAGCTCAAAAAAATAAAGCTGGTTGTTCTTCTGATCTATCTTATTATTAGAAAACAAACTTCAGTAGAAATTTCATTCATCAGGCCAAACAGAAGCCAATTTCACCCGTCTGTTCAAAACCTCTAATATTTCTTCTTTACATTTTGTCGCATCAAAATTGATTCTGTAAACATATAGCACTCTGTTTCCATTAGGACAACAGATTGACTGCCTGTTTTGAAGCAGATCATCACTTCGGTACTCATCTCTCAAGGTATAATAACCACAAGGATTCAGTTATTAATTATCAATAGAGCAACATTTCCGACTTCATTTCAAATATCATCTGAAATTTCATTAATCAGGCTAAAGAGAAGTAAAATTTCATCCCTGCCAGTTCAAAACCTATAATATTTCTTCTTTTTCCTGAAAATCTATCCATTTTCTAGCACCCAAGGGTGTGACATAGTGTTCAATGAGGTCTGCGGTTCAAATCCTCGCAAAAACCACTAGGTGATTTCTTCTCATATGTTCTAGCTTGGTGGATAGAGGTACCTGGTGCCTATTGTTGCTGGGGGTGACAGGTATCCGGTGGATAAAAAAAATATATATGCATTTTTCTCGTATCCAAATGATCATTTAAATATATAGCACTCTATTTCCATCATGAAAACAGATTAACCACCTGTTTTGAAGCAGATCATACCTTCAATAATCAAAATATCATAACCTCAAAGTTCAGCTATTAATTATCAATGCAGCAGCCGTTAATTAATCGATAAAAAGGAACATAAGCACAACGAATCATATTCATGCACCAAACGCAATCAAAATTGAAATAAGAACAAACGCAATACATAAAATTGAGGCGATTTTAACCTTTCTGTGCTTGGCATTGAGTTCCTTTGTAACGTTGGCCTTCTCATTCATAGTGCCGGTGGCCGGAGTTACCGGAATTGGAGAAGATATCGGAAAATTATCGCCGATCTAATTCCTCGACCGCCGATGAGTGTAGCTGGATGAGAAAAAGAGAAATCGCAATCGCGTTTTCGAATTGATCGTATGCATTCAACAAATGGTATTTATAACTATGTTAGTTTGCTTAATATAGTAATACTTTTTAATTAGTAATTTTTTTTTTGTCTTTTTCTCTTTTTTGGAAAATATACCAACTCTAATATAATATCAATATTATATCTAGGTAGACCATATTTTTACCATAATGTTTATACAATATTATACACTAACGATAAACCTTTTATAAATACTTGTTAAGTGTTTCCATTCCTTTTGTGAAAATATTAATTAAGAGGTGTGTTTATGTATTTTATTCTTAATTTGGTTCATAACTTTTTTCTATTAAATATTGAGTTGCTAATAAAAAAAATACTTAAATTATTATATTTTCATGACCTCGACTTTCAATTATTTTATTTATCTATTTAAATCATCAACAAAGATAATTAATGTTTCATATAATTAGTTGGGTGATCCTAAACTAACTTGAATACTATGATTATAAAAATATGGGAAAAGGCTCAAATATGCCATCGAACTTTTAGAAAAGGCTCATTTATGTCATCCGTTAAAAGTTTGGCTCATTTATGCCATTGTTGTTGAAGAAAAGGCTCATCCATGCCATTTTTTTTAACTCCGGTTTTGCAAAACCATTTTTTACACACAAAACAAGGTTTAACACTTTTCTATTGGTGTTTTTAGATCAAATGTACATTTTTTGCTTCTACATTCTTAAGAAAACCAAGAACACATAAAGAACATTAACAATTCCCAAATTTCAAACTTATTCAATTCTTCATGAATCGCCTCAAATTTCAAGAGTAGTTTCGCTCCGAGCTAGATACCAAAACTCAATTTCTTTTGAGCTTGAATTCAACCTAACTCAACAAGACCCAATTGAAATTTCTTCAAAGTTTCAAAACTTGAACATTCTTTAATGGTAGATTCTCCAAAACTTCAAATCATTTGAAATTTTGAACATAAACTCAAAAAACACTAGTCAAAAAAGATCTAATGTTAAAAACAAGAATAAAAAAATATTGTATTTATAAAAAATATATTATTCTCAAAGTTTAAATTTGAGACAAATAATTAAGAATAAATTTGCTCTATTTTTGAATGTATGTATTATTCTCAAAGTTTAAATTCGAGACTTATAGTAAATAGTTTAATTTCATTTACTTATTTTTTTTTATTCTTATTACATATTTTTGTTTTGAATAGAATAATGTTATGTGTTTATGTGAAAGTTGTATTTTTATAATCATACTAGTATTCAAGTTAGTTTGTTTATATTTTTAGGGAAAAGGCTCAAATATGCCATCGAACTTTTAGAAAAGGCTCATTTATGCCATCCGTTAAAAGTTTGGCTCATATATATATGCGATTGCTGTTAAAGAAAAGGCTCATCCATGCCATTTTTTTAACTCTAGTTTTGCAAAACCATTTCTTTATACCCCGAACATGGTTTAATACTTTTTAATTGGAATTTTTGGATCAAATGTAAACTTTTTGTTTGTTTTTCTTTAAAAACACCAAGAACACATGAAGAACATAAACAACTCCAAAATTTTCAACATCTTTAATTCTTCACGAAATCATCTCAAATTTCGGCTACATCATTAATTTCTTTTTTAAAAAAAACAAAAATTCTAAAATTATTTGCAGAGTTCAAAAAATTCACCCATATTTAAAAAATATATTCCAAAAAACGAATTTCTTCTTCTTTGCAAATGTTATAGCATGTTTAAGGCCACAAGTTTCTAAAGTTTATATAGTCAAACAAATACAAATGAAATGCGTAAGACCACAAGTTTCAAAACTTTCATTTCTTTCATAAAATCTGTCTCGATCCATACCAAATTGTGTCATGTAAATTGGAACGGAGAGAGTATTATTATACAACCTATTGTACCGTGGTACCTGTGGTATTAGTATATTTTAGCTTTGGCTCTGCCTTTGGAGTGAATTATGTATATACGTTGTGGAGACTTTTTAAAATATATCTACTTAAAACTAGGTTCACATGCATTAGTGCAAAGGAGGAGGTTGGGTTGTATACTAGTAACTCACTCCCACTGTCTCAATCCGCCTCTTAGTGAAAGCAATTTCTGCTGTGAAATGCTGCATGTGACGCATCTAAGACCAATTACTAACTTTGCCTGTTATTTTGTTCTCACTGCAATCTGATAAGCCTTGGTAAGGTAGACCTTGAAATTGGATTGGCTTCTGGTGATGCAGTGTCTATATAGTTATTAGCGTACTGTTTTTACGTGGACCACTGCAATACTGTTCCAATGTTCATAAGCTTCACGTGCTCTCCGTTTATGAGGAAGGAGGGGGAGTTGGTAGTGACCTTTGCAAGGCCATTTGTATGATATAGAACTTTAGAATTTGAGTGACTGACATTGACAGCTCCATTTTGGCGATGCACTATCTTCTTGATGAACTGTAGATGGATAGCCTTTATTGCATGGGCGAAAATAGTACTCCCTCCGTCCCATTTTATGTGAGGTAGTTTGACTCGGCACAGAGTTTAAGAAAGAAAGAAAGAAAAACTTTTAAAACTTGTGGTCCAAAATGAATGATAAAAATTTGTGTGGCTGTAAATCATTTCATTAAGGGTAAAATAGATCTTTTATAGTTAAATTGTTACTTAATATAGAAATGTGTCATTCTTTTTGGGACTGACCAGAAAGGAAAGTAAGTCACATAAATTGGGACAGAGGGAGTAGTAGGTAAACTTGCATTTGATGCAGTAAGATTTTCACTACTTCACAGTTCACACCTAAATTTCTGTGCTTTGCCCTTATAGTTTCCTTGTTCTTGTTGACAATAGAATCAACTTTTGTGAGTCCTAAAATCATCTTTTAATAAGTTGATATGTCTTGTGTACTCACAAGATAAAGGTTAACAGAAAGAAAAAAAGGAATGAAATGAAAAAGTAGTATTTTAGCTCCTCTACAGCATACATAATAAAACATGTGGAGCATTTTTCCTGAGCGGTAAGATAATATCAAGTACATTGCAGGATGTGTGGGAGACACCGACAAATAGTCACTCCTATTTCTCTTGTCAACATGACATGTTTTGATTAAGGTAATACAAACAGCTCATTGATGACCCCTTTGAAGTTAGTTATGCTTAATATTATGTTCTCTTTGATGGTCTTGAGTCGTGACTCAAGAACACTCTCTGATAGGATTACACATCTTATGACGATTGATGGATATCACTAATATTGCCATCGAACATTTATGTAACCAAATGGATTTTCACATGTTTAATCGTTTATGCAGGTGGAAGTAAAATTACGAAGGAGGGATTAAAGGACCAATCACCGTCACATCCTTCCAGTAGAGTTGAGAAACAAGATGTTACTGCTGTAATGGAGGAGATGCAAGCAAAGATGGAGAAACTTCAGGATGACATGAATAACACGAAGCAGCAAAATGAGGTATCAAGTAAATGCATCACGGGGTTGGATTCCTTTGAGTTCTCTGATGAGCCTATTAAGAGTTCGACACCTTCAAAATCTAATAGAAAAAAAGTTTTCTTTCGCTCTCGGCTGTAAAAAAAAGAGGAAATCTTGCTGCTGTTGAAACTCTTTTTTTTCTTTTTTCTTTTTGGCTTTCAAGCCAATCAAGTTGTATAGTACATAAAATAATTGTTGAATACAATATGCCAGACCCATGTTTCTTGACTTATGGATTGATCAATCAATCATGTTTTTTATGTGTTTTAAATACCAAACTCACACTTATAGACAAAAAACACGACTTCCTAACTACCTAAGTTAGTGTGAAAATTTTGTCCACACACTTGAGAAGTAAAGACTTAGTATTTTGAATAGTTACAATTCGTGCTGTTCGAATGTGCACCAAAAGATAAAAACATAAAGGCTCTCAGCTTATATAAGACAGCTATTACTGCATGACTATTTGAAAAGAAATAAAATGGCGCTGTGGCAAGACGGGCTGAACAGAAAAGTTGTGATGGTGACTGGAGCATCGTCAGGAATCGGGAGAGAGTTGAGTATCAACTTGGCAAAAGCGGGTTGCAGGATCATTGTTTCAGCTCGTCGTGTAGACAAGCTGAAATCTCTCTGCAACCACATTAACAGTAGTAGTAAATCGGAAGGTCCGGCCCTAAATGCAATCGCGGTTGAGCTAGACGTTACTGCCAATGGTGGTAACATTGAGGCCGCTGTGCAGATAGCTTGGAATGCCTTCGGACGTATTGATGCCTTGGTTAACAATGCTGGGGTTAGAGGTTTGAGCACTATTCAATCATCTTTCAATCTATCCTTACCTTTCAACTAACCCCCTCCATATAATCTCGGACCTGATGGATTGTAGATTCGCCTCTGGCAGGGGCGGACCCATGTGTTGCCCGAACCCCCTCGATGAAAAATTACACTGTATATATAAGGTGAATTTTTTGGATTTATGTGGATATATATATTTTGAACCTCCTGAATGACAAGGTGAAGGAGAAAGCCCAACGGCAAGCCTGACATTCAGGGATCGAATCCCTGGCTTAGCGTTTTGTTTTTTAGTTTTTTACTTTCAATTTTTATTTTATTTTTTTTAGTTCTAGTTCCGATTTTCATATTTTTTTAGTTTTTTTTTTTAATAAAAAGTGCTAAAATGTGGTGTTAAACCCAAAAAATTCAAAGGTCCCATACTCCCATTCTTAAAAGCTATTAATTTTTTCACTTTCCAAATCCCTAAATCACTTTCTTGTTCTTCCCTAACACTCAAAACTCAATTATTAAAATCATCTCCCATAATATTATATTGTTGATTTGACATATTTTAAAGGGCTAACTTTTTGTTTCACTGTAATCACTTGTGTTAATTTCGGATTTCTTGTAACGAAACTAACTTTTTGTACCTATAAATTATATACTACTACTTCCTTGATTTATTTTTTTTGTTGGCTTATTTACACGTTTATACTTTTATTTTTCGAACCCCCTAAACGAAAATCCTGGGTCCGCCACTGGCCTCTGGTCACTTATACCTCTTGATAACAATCGAGTTTTCTTTGGAATTGATTTTCATGTTAAGTTATATTATTTGTTTTCTACAATAGTATTTCTCTATAACATTCAAAACATATCTAGACAAACTACGTCTTTATAGATAGGTTTGATTGTAATAGAATTATTTTGGTTGTTGTTGATCATATGTATAGGTAGTGTAAGTTCTTCTCTAGAATTGTCAGAGGAGGAGTGGGAACATACTTTTACGACGAATCTCAGAGGAGCATGGTTGGTGTCAAAATTTGTTTGTAGACACATGATCGATGCTAAACAGGGCGGAGGATCTATTATTAATGTGTCTTCAATCGCTGGTCTGAATCGGGTACTAGTACCCGGAGGTCTTGCTTACGCTTCTTCAAAAATGGCTCTTAACAGGCTCACTGAGGTACACACTAGCTAGTGTTGCAAATTTGTCCAAATACTTGTCTTAATACTTAACTTGGATTGTTATAGAGAAGTCTGACTGTATTCGAATGATAGCAGATGATGGCACTTGAACTAGGAGTACACAAGATAAGAGTAAACTCAATAGCACCAGGAATTTTCAAATCTGAGATGACAGAGAGCCTTATTCAACAGAAATGGTTCCATGGTGTTATTTCTAGGACCACTCCTCTGAGAACTATTGGAACGACAGATCCGGCTTTAACATCACTCGTGAGGTACTTAATCCATGCTTCTTCAGAATATGTTTCCGGCAATGTTTTCATTGTCGATAGTGGAGCTACCTTAATAGGCGTGCCAATTTTCTCGTCACTCTAAAAGAATAGAGGTAGATTCATGATTTAAATTTGATGGAAGCTTCAACCAGAATATCAAACTCAAGTTATTAAGAACTGAAAGAAATGCAATGATATTCTGAACAATTTCATGACCGTTTTCATAGAACTCAATCAAGATGAAGTAGAAGGAAAATTTCCAATATAAATTTGTATGATACTTCCTCCATGTCAATTTGTTTGTCGTACTTTCCTTATTTGTCCGCTTAAAAAGAATGTCTCTTTCTTTTTTTTACAACTTTTTAATTCCAACATTTTGGTGCATTTTACATGTCTTTAATTCAAGACCACAAGTTTTCAAAAGTCTTCTTTACTTTCTTATAAATCTGTGTCGAAACGAAGGGAGTAACAAACAGAAGAGATGGCAACATATGCTTAATATTTATTATCTATGAATGGATACAATTATAGTGCTTTTACAAATACATATTCATGACTATCTATCAGATAAAGAGGGCAATGTATCACCTAACAATGGAAACAATACTGCAACTTGCAGTATTTGAACGATGAATTTCATCGTATACGCTAGTACATCAATCATATACAATACACACTCAAAAACATTTTAGTAGAGGGAAAATTTGATTCAATACTATACTCAAGCACGTATACAAGGGAGTATTTCTTCTCATCTTCCCCGCGGATTTACCAGCTGAGAGAAAACGGAACTAGTAGCAGCATCCCCTGCATCATCATCTGTTCCTGAGTTAACTATACCTTGGATATTGCTAACACTGTTGTCGAATGGTTCAACTGGTGTTAATGGTATGCCAGGGATATGGTTTGTACTGTTATCATCAGGCTCTGTCAAGGCTGATGAGGCTTCTTCAAGCTGAAGAGCGTATTCTAGATTCCATAACACATCTCCCATTGAAGGTCTATCAACTCCGTACTCAGCCAAACACTTTTCAGCTGTCTCACCGAACTTTTTCAGGGAAGCTGGGTTGACCTGCCCCTTGAGATTTGGGTCCATTATCCGATCCAACATGCCTTTCTTTTGCCAAATCATAGCCCACTCGGCTATATTAACTTGCTCACGTGGAAGGACCGGATTCAATGCTGGTCTGGTGCAGAGAACTTCCATTAGGACAACACCAAATGAGTAGACATCTGATTTCTCCGTGAGCTGCTGCCTCCGGAAGTATTCAGGATCAAGGTACCCAAAGCTACCCTTCACAGCAGTACTTACATGTGTCTGATCAAGAGCCGGTCCGGCTTTGGAAAGACCAAAGTCAGCAACTTTAGCCACAAAGTTATCATCCAAAAGTATGTTGGTGGTTTTGACATCGCGGTGAATGATGCTCTGAGTTGCACCTGTATGGAGGTAATGCAGCCCCCTTGCAGCACCGATACAAATCTCAAGACGCTGCTTCCATGAGAGAGGTGGCAGATCTGTTCCATAAAGATGACTTCTGAGAGGACCATTTGCCATGTATTCATAAACAAGAATCATTTCCGACCTCTCATCGCAATAACCAATCAAAGACACGAGATGACGGTGGCGAAGTTTGGACAACATTTCAATCTCAGTTTGAAATTCAGCTAGACCTTGTTCAGATCCTGTGTTTCCTCTTTTGACAGCAAGTTTAGTTCCATCTTCCATTGTTCCTTTATAGACCCTACCGAAACCACCAACACCAAGAAGCAAGTTCTCGTCGAATTTGTTAGTTGCATCCATTATTTCTTGGAAACTAAAAAATCGTCCAACATTCGGTGAAGCCAAGGAGATGCAGCTTGCTGTTCCCCGAGAAGCTGTTGTTTTCGTCAAAGTTAAAGAGTTTCCATACAAGGACGGAATCCATGAGTGTCCTTGGTTGGAAGTCTTTGATCTTCGAGCTATAAAAAAGCAACAACACAACGCAATAAGCGCCAAAACAGCTGATGCTCCTAAGGCAGAACCAAATATTAAACCAATCTTTTTCTTTTTGTGAGGCAACACAAAGAGAGTCTCAACAGATTGAACCCCACTCAAGCTTCTAGCTTCGTTGCTAATCTTCATGATTTCCAGTCCATTCATAATTGCATTTATCCAATCCGCACTCGTATCTGGACCAACACTCACTGTCAGAATACTTGAGTTTACTGAGGAATTGGAGACGAAATCCTTGTATAATGGTACGTCCAAATTTCCAGCTAAGTTTGACAAGTCTAGGTCCAATAGAGCAGCGTCATCATTAACATATAGGTTGAACAGAAGACTATTCAAAGATTCACTCACAATATCACAAAAATGTACTCGGATGAAGTACATGAAGTTCGGATCAACAGGGAACACCCAAGTGATATTGAAATTCACATTAGGTACATTTGCATCTCCCATAGTTTCAGCAGTAGCGTAAACCCAATTTGGTGCTATTTCAGGAGTCATAGTAGCCGGATACTTTATGCTTGAAGGGCTAACTGAAACACTCACCGCAGAGCTGTTGACGTGAAGGTACTTCACATCATTCTCCCATGTTCTTCCCAAGGTGTCGTTCAGAGCAGTGAGATGAGGACCACCCATGTTTAGACGATAAACAGTTTCGAGGGCTAGTCCAGAAAGGCCACTGAAAGGTGCTACGGGAGATACAGCCACTGCTTGATCAGGGATCAACTCATCAGGTACTGATACAACTTCAATGGCACTGATAAATGCAACGGAGTTGTTTGAAGGGATCAAAGCAAGAATCAAACTATCTGAATTGGCATTGATCATGTATTCCTTAAAAAGGTATGATCCATTATAGCTCTTGAAACTGAAATTGTTCAACAGAACAAAATTTTCTGTGACCACTGTCATTGAGGCAGACGTTAAGTTGTGCCCTGGAAGAGGGTAGAAATAGAGACGGATCCAATGGTGGCCTTCTTGCTTAATATCAAACTTGTAAAACGCTGTAGTATGGAAAATTCTGGCTGACTGATAGATCGAAAACGGAGCACTAGAATTGGATGTTGCAGCAATAGAATTTTCCTTATTTTCTAAAGCAGCTGAAGATTGGAGCGAATCAGGAACATATGTCTGGCCGATATAGGTCACATTTTGTGATGATCCACACGCGAGCAAGTAGTTATCAGCAGGAACGAAGGCAGCATTCGAGTCCTGAATCAAAAAGATGGACACAACTACTGCTAGAACTAAAGGCATCCATGACATTGTTCTCAAGTCCATCGTCCTAAAGAGCCTATTGCTAAATACTGGACTCCAATTCTCCACAAAAATTAAAACTCTTAAAGACAACTTTTTGAATTTCTTCTTTCAGACGACCCCTCCAGTTACAACAACAACAACAATAACTATGCCTCAATCTCGATATCAAAGTAGCTGAATAAGCTAAGTCTGATTTCCCAGATGATACTAAGAACCTACACTGTAGTATTATAGATCTTTCTCAACTATCTAGAGCAATCTTGATACAGAAAAAAAAAACTTAACTGAAAATTCACAGGAAACTATCAATAAACTATGATTAACACCAAAGAACAAAAAAATAGTTTTAGACAAGATCTGAGCTAACAACTTTCCTCTAGACTTCAGATTGGAAATGCTCCTAGAGGCTTTGGTTCAGTGGTAAGAGTGCAATGCCTATGCCTGATGTGTGAGTTAGGCGGACGTAACAAAAAGCCTGGTATTTAAGTGGAGAAGAGTCAAGGGGTGTGCCAATTATCCACCGAGTTCCGAGCTGTGCACCAGAAGAAAGGTTACCTCAATGCCACCATGAAAATACAGTCAAATAGAGCTTTTTAGTGCAACTCCACAATGAAAAATTGAATCTTTTGAAAAGGGTATGAACCAAAAAGAAGAAAGAAACAAGTCCCAAGTCAGGTTACCTCAATGCCACCATGAAAACACAATCAAGAACAGCTTTTTAGTGCAACTACACTATGAAAAATTGAATCTTTTGAAAAGGGTGTGAACCAAAAGGAAGAAAGAAACAAAACCCAATTCAGATTACCTCAATGCCACCATAAAAACACAATCAAGAAGAGCTTTTTAGTGCAAATCCACTATAAAAACACAGTCAAGAAGAGCTGTTTAGTGCAACTCCACTATGAAAAATTGAATATTTTGAAAAGGATGTGAACCAAAAGGAAGAAATAAGAGGAACCAATTCAAGTTACCTCAATGCCACCATGAAAACGCAATCAAGAACAGCTTTTTAGTGCAACTCCACCATGAAAAATTGGATCTTTTGAAAAGGGTGTGAACCAGAAGGAAGAAACAACAAGACCCAAGTCAGGTTACCTCAATGCCACAATAAAAACACAATCAAGAAGAGCTATTTAGTGCAAATCCACCATAAAAACACAGTCAAGAAGAGCTATCTAGTACAACTTCCCCTTGAAAAATTGGATCTTTTGACATGGGTGTGAACCAAAAGGCAGAAACAAGAAAGACCCAAATTCAAACACAATCAACAAGAACTTTTTAGTGCAATTCCATTATGATATGAAAAATTGAATCTTTTGACATGGGTGTGTGAACCAAAAGGAAGAAAGAAACAAGAAATACCCAATTCTAAACACAATCACAACAAGAGCTTTTTCAGTACCTACTCCAACAGCTAGCTCTTAACAGGCTGTGGATAGCAAAAAAAAAAAAAAGGGAAAAAAGGGACCACAAGATAAACCCCACTTCCATGCCCAATTTGAAACAGCTGTTTTCAAGCAACATTGCCAGTTTATAAGTAGAATTTGCCATTAAAGTTCTCCAAATGATCATTAAATTGATGTAATCATAGTATAATTAGGCTTTGCATGAAAATTAACCAAAACATACAGTAGCCTATTTGTATAATTAAAGCCTTGTTGGGACCCAATTCTACGCGGCTTTGTATATAAATTGTTTTCATCTTTATTGTTTTTTCACTTTTGGCCAACGAATTTGCGTATCGTAAGACTCATTTCAATAAGATTTTTTTTTCATACACTTAAACTCGTGACTTCAATCATCCCATCATAATTCATTATGTTTTTTCATTTTCAAAACTCAAACTCAAACTTAAATATGAAAATACTTTTCAATATTTAATATTTATTCGATATTTTTAATCAACTAATCTAGATAAGCTTTGCTCACCAAAAAGTAGCCATTAGGAATTTGATGACTTAATGAGTTTTTGTTTGCATTTTCTTTTCAATTTGAATCTAGAATTCAATTATTTTTTTAATTATCCGCTACATAATTACATATGATAAAATTAGTCTCAACACTTCAAAAAAATTATTTTTTCAATACTTAATATCTATTCATTATTTTTAATCAGTTACTCTAGATGAAATTTACATCGCAAAAAAGGAGCAATTAAAAATTTTGCTACTCAATGAGTTCTCTTGTCTATATTCAACTTTTTTTCTACTATTCTCCATAAGAAATCATATTCGAATATTTAAAAATACTTTTCAATATATGATATTATCAATTACTTTTAATGTGCTAATTTAAACGCCCTTTACATCGTAAAAAAGGGAAACGTAAGGAATTTGGTGACTTGAATGAATTTTTTTGTCCATTTCCTCTATACAAATGCACATGGCCACCAACAATGTTGGGTCCCCATTTGCCTTCCTCTTCATATATTTCTATATTTTTAGGAGGAAAAAAATTATTGGCAAAAATAACTATTTCATCTGTCAAATTGCTCATCTTTTATTACATTTTCAAATTAAAAGTTGTCATTCAAAAAAACTAGTAAAATATTATAAAATCGTGTTCTTTATTTTAAATAGTGAAGAATGTTTAAAAAAATATTCAAACATCGTGTAAATTAATTGATCTAGAAAACAAATACAAGTCAAATATTAAGATAGGAATTTAAAATATAGATATCATATTGTGGAATTAATGCATTTAAAATCAAATGTGCAACGTGGACAACCTAATACGAGTGCTCAATATTAGATAAATCAAGAATTTGAATATATTTGGTTTTGATAACACAACCCCAAAACTAGCGGGTGATTTGCACAAAAGCGATACTTTAGGCCGTTATTTAAATATCGTCTCTAAATTTTGAATTTTGTGTGAAAATGACTCTTTTAGGTTAATGAACATATTTCAGACTAAAATATCCTTAAGTTGAACGACAAATATGATAAAGTGATGTAAAGTAACAACTATAGCATGCAAGTCATGACAAATCGATATGACTTTACACTATATTAACTAGTTCATATCTTATCATATTGCTCAAAAACCATAGCAGATCGTCATGATTTCAAAGGTACAAACAACAAAGAGGAAAAATACATTTCAAAATATTAGCATGCAAATCATGATAAATTGATATGACTTCACGTTATATTCAACTTAGTTATCCTATTGGATATATAACTCACAAACTCTACCTATGACTAATATTTTACCTATATACATGATATACACTAGCTTATTTTCTATAAAAAGGTGTTCAATTAATCATCATTTATCGATCTATTTTACCTCCACGGCCTCGAGAAAAAGGGAATACAACTAATCACCCTTCATCTATTGTTATGAGTTTATGTGTAGTATTTGAGAATGGCACCACAAAAACTACAAACAATAGCCTTCCAAGACTTGGTATAAAATGGAATATAACAAAACCTAGTTGATGTATACATCTCAGCCACTTTAGCACCGTGTCCGCACCGCGAACACGAGCCAGCCACCGGCTTACTCCGCCGCACCGTCCTCTTTTGATCCACCAGAAAGCAAAAACAAACCATCAATGGAGTTTTGCAAACAAAAATATACTATATGGAAGAGAGAAATATATTGGTTTTTTTTTTTCTTCTTTGGGCCAAGTTTGTTGGAAATTATATAGGTAGGAGTAATAACACACTGGTCATTTTTCGATTAGGTCTTTGAAAAATAATTAATATCGTAAAGTATCAAATTTCAGAACATTATTTAAAGCTTTATTTGTAAAATTTGAAACTTAAGGATAATAGTTATTTTTCAATTACAGAAACAGAAAAGTGGACATTGTTTGAAATAATTTCAATTTGATATTATATTTGGTAGATAGCATTTTATTTGTAAATGTAGTTTTCAAAACATAAATTAAAATTAATCGAACTTTATATTAGATATCGACAATTGCCACGTATATGTAAATCTAGAAGTAAATGTTTCATTAATTAATCAATAAAAAGTGCTGACTATGCCATATAGTCCATTTTATATAGTTGGGAGATTTTGTATTTAATTAATGAATTGCTTTGCTGTGCTATTTAAATTTATAATTCTCATGCTTCAATCGATTTTTTTCTTATATTTTAAAATTATGTAAATTATAGTATACATTATCTTTGTGATAATGTTATATGTTTTCTGTTTCAATATATATGATATAGTTTGATTAAACTAAAAGAATATTTTTTAGACTTTCTGAAATTTATAGTCTTAACGAAATATGTTATAATATTAGTGTGAGTGTGACTATAAACCTTATGAAATATATGGTTTTTAATATAAATCTTTTTCCACTTTTTGAGTAAGTTGAGTGTTGTATCACTTTACTTTACATACTACTTTGTCGTAGTATTATTTTTGTAGTTTTTTGTCCTTTAATTTTTGTTACTAGTTGTTGTTTCTTGTAATTCGATTATTGTAATATTCTGTTGTAGTTACTTCACCTTTTCTTAAGTTGTTTTGTCATGCTCGCTATAGTATTTTGATATGGTGTCTCCACTTTGTCAATTCTTTTTCAATCTGCTTTGATTTGTTTTTTCGTGAGTTGAGGGTCTATTGGTAACAACCTCTTCACCTCTGAAACAGAGATAGAATCTGCATATACTCCACTCTCTCTAAACCCTAATCATGAAATTATACGGGATCATATAAACCTTAAGCCTTATTGTCTTCCCTTATTTAAAGAAAATTTAACAAATTTTATATAACAAAATATAATTATTTATGGCTTTTTATGCTCCCATTTTTATCATATAATTTTTTATCGAAGAAAATTCAATTAAACATTTTAACAACCTCGCTCTAGCTCCACCCTTCCCCACAAAATAGACATATTGGTAGTTACTTATGATACACTAATTAATGTACATGCCTAAACCTAATAGAGAACATTTTCTATATATCTATTATACATTGTTATACAATATAGATGTTATATATTTATATAAATAACGTAAATAATGATGTAAGTATATCTGTTAAAATATATTATTTCGAATTTGAATTTTGAAAAAAAAAAAAAAAATCCTAATAGAGAACATTTTTCTTTAATTGGCGCGCAAAGCCAAATTAAGCTATAAATTATTGTCTTGTTATTTTGATACTAATTTTAAGATACTGAAAGAGTAACCCAAAAGAGCATTGGGGTTTAAAAAGAAAATATTTGTTGAGACTGCTAGGCCCATTAAGAAAATATAGTATAAATTAGAGCAACTTTCACATATAGCAAACACAAAATTCATATTTGTATGCTATAGCGAAGTTTGCATAATTGCGCTTCATAGCAAACATAAATATGTATATTTTGCTATACATATACAAAAGAAAGTAGTTGTATAATCTGCTTTATACAACTGCTTTGGTATACATATACAAAAAGATCAATTGTATAAAGTGAGAGAGACGAGTGAGCGAGTAAGATATGAGAGAGTGGCGAGCGAGATCTGGGAGAGGGGAGAGAGGGGAACGAAAATATATGTATATATACAATTTTCACGCATTTTATACATTTGCGTTTTTGTATAAAGTGAGAGAGGCGAGTGAGAGAGTGAGATCTGGGAGAGGGGAGAGAGGGGAACGGAAATATATGTATATATACAATTTTCTCTCGCTTTATACAAACACAAACTCATTTTATACAATTTGCCTTTTTTGTATAAAGTGAGAGAGGCGAGTGAGAGAGCGAGATCTGGGAGAGGGGAGAGAGAGGAACGAAAATATATGTATATATACAATTTTCTCTCGCTTTATACAAACACAAATGCACTTTATACACTTGCGTTTGTATAAAAAACGAGATAGGTGAGCGAGAGAACGAGAGTGGCGAGCGAGATTCACCAAGAGAGAGGTGAAATAACAACAGTTTGCTATGGGGTACAATTAAATCAAACTATATTTATAGCATTTAATTTGAATTAATAGTTTGGTATTATATACAATTTTTCCTATAAATTATAGGAACCACATATTATAAGTACTAAATAATATCTTATCCCTTCTAGTTTTCTATTTACCAAAAATCCCTTACAAATGATGTTTGCGGGATACATAGCGTTGTGCACGGGATACATTCCACATAGCGGGATACATAGCGTTGTGCACGGGATACATTCCACATAGCGGGATACATAGCGTTGTGCACGGGATACATAGCGCTGTGCACGGGATACATAGCGTTTGATACATTAATTCCACATAGCGGGATACATAGCGTTGTGCACGGGATACATGCGGGATACATAGTTAAATAAGGGATTTTTGAAAATTTTGAAATAAGTAGGGATAAATGGATATTAAGGTAAGTAAATGAGTGTAGTTAAGTAATTTGTCCGAAAATATATGTGGAGAAAAAAGACAAAATTTTAAGTTCGATTGTTTGCTAGCGTGTTTTACCTATAAGTATATACACTTGCACGTGTATCTCTAAAATGTGGAATGTATTTTGATCGGTTATAAGTTGTTGTTTAAAATATGGATTTTCGAGTTGAAACCTTGAGAACAGAAAATTTTTAGGTAAAGAAGAATTCTAATCTCTTTAATTCGTTTTATAGGACGCTAATTCAAATAAATGAGAATCACTAAAGTGTCATATATAGATACTTAATATAAAGTAGCTTTGTAATGTTTACTTGGTAAGGAATACAATTAAACAAACAAATAAATTTGTGTTTTTAAGAAAGTGAATCCCTTTGTTGACAACATAAATTAATGGTCCCTTAAGTCAGCAAATAAATTAAAGAAAGTCAATTTGTGGGGTTAATTAGTAGCTACTATTATTGTCAACTTTTGTTTTATTCTTAATTAATTAATTAATATTTCGATACCTTAATTATGTTTTATGTAATTTTATTTAATTGGAGTACTATAGCTTAATTGGTTGACCATCTCATTTACATGTGCATAAATAAATTGACCCCATAGAAAAATTGATTTCTAACTCCATAGCTTTTGAAGGAATTATCTATAATCCGTCAAACATAAATTTGAAAGAAATACCATAAATTTCAACAAAAAATAATTCATTCGTTATTAAATTTTATGTCAAGTCAACTATGAAATTAATATAAGTCGTGTCGTAATAATTAGTTAGTGGAAGACAATTATCAATGAATCATATACATTATCCACTATGTAATTTTCTCTAATAAATGATGATACTCCATCAACTAAAACTTTTTTTAAAACTAAGATTAATAAGTTCCCCTATTATTTTGAATTTGTTTATTAATCATTTTGGTATTCGGTATTTTTGTTGGCATCTAATTAAATCTAAATACACAATGAGAAGTTTTCATATAAAGGAGTAAGACATTTTTTAACAAAAATAATTATAAAAAATATTGATCAAAGCCGATACTTTATATTTTAATTAAGAAAAATGAAGGTAACTAAATGTCAAAATCAAAATTAACTATCTAACCTAATTTTACTAGTATAAGCTTTATTTCTAGTGTGTTGGAAACTCAAAAAAGATTTAAATTATATATTAATATTTTTTAAATATATAATTAGTGTAATTAATCAACTCATTATAGCTAGTTATCATAACTCTTCAAGACAACATATCAAGTTATATAGGTCACCTTCCACAAGCACATAGTTACCAAAAAAAAGTTGTAGATTATCATCTAACAAATGATAGTTGCGTCGATCATAATTTACATTACTGATGCAATCATTCGAATCAAATAACTGAAATTAAACTACTATAACTCCTAGCTTTTCTCCTTTTACAAAAAGTCTTCTAATAACTCATTTAAAGCATTGAAAAGAGAGTTGAAATGGGGCATATATACAAAATATAGTTGTGACTACTCTCATTTGTTGATGTGACAGTCTGAATAGAAGATATTTTGTATTAATTATAACTAAAGTAAAATATAAAGAAATCCATATATAATATATCTATATAATTGACTGATTGATTGATCTCAGGGGGCAAAGTAAAATTTGCCTTTTTGTATCTTTAAGAGTACCAATTCATGCCAGCAACTTGATTATAAGGTTGTCGAAAGACAACTCCATCACTAAGAGATCCCAATACTTCTTGTTGTTCTTGTTGTTCTTGTAGAATCGAAGTATTTTGAGGAAAGTGGCTCAGGAAATTGGCAATGGAGCTACTTTGTTCATGATTTGTAATTCGCGCAATATTATTCATGTTAAGTCCATCGTCCCTGTTGTTCTCAACTAAGAACCTTTTTGTATTTGGAGAATGGTTCCCTTCAGTTGTTGTTGTTGTTTCGTCGATATTCCAATACAAACCTCCATGCATCGATCTCTTTGACGATAATTGTGGAATGGATCTATTATTGTTGTTGATCATATCGTTCGTATTATTCATAATTCCATCGTACATGTTCGATTCATTTTGGAGCAATATTGTACCATAGTTTGAAGGTTTTATTCCTTGTAGTATTGAATTTGGTACATTTTGTGGTATTGATCCCAACATATCATTCAAATCATCTATTGACCTTTGAGTGTTATTCTTCTTGTAAATTCGACATAAAACCCAATCATCTAGCTGCAAAAA